GCAACGGAGCTCAAAAGTGTGGGATCATTTTAAGAAAAAGAAAGAGAAACCTGTACAATACGTATCTGCAAGGAAGAACCTGCCTTCCACAGCAGTTATTTTTAGTTAGCATATAGCTAAAATCTAACGATGGTTATACAATAGCAACTGCATTCTGATGTGATAAGCTGTATGTTTTATATTAAATTAACATATGATCCGATTAGTCGACTAATCGAAAAAATAATCCGTGATTAATCGATTATAAAAATAATGTTTCTGGCAGCCCTATTTGTGAGCATCAGTGTTTCTGAAACATCTTCATCCTGAACTATCCAGCTGCTTTAGGCCTTTTAAAGACACATAAAATGGGCAGAGGACAGGCGAACGTCCTCACTTTAGTGTCATATTTCTCACCTTTCTGTGAAAAGATTAAAGGCTGAATTAAGCCCAYGTGTGAGGGTGTGTGTGGCGTCTATATATTCCAGGATTCACCACGTTTCCTCTGAAGAGACCTCGACTCTGGAGCTGTGAGAGAAGAGGCTGACCTGGTGCCATGGAGGAACTGGCCCGGGAGAGCATCAGCCTKCTGGCCCGGTCTGCTTCCCACACTGACCCACCAGGACTGGGCTCGTTCGGAGCCGTGTTCATCATGCTGAAGTCCGCTCTGGGAGCTGGGCTGCTCAACTTCCCCTGGGCCTTTCAGAAGGCCGGAGGAGTGAGTGCTTCCATCAGTGTGGAGCTGGTGAGTTATTCTGGGAATCTTCACACAAATTTTAAACATCTTTCCACAAAAGTCTAACTTTTTAATTTAAATACGATCAGTTCTGTAGCTAAGAACGATTTGTTAGTTTTTTTTGTGCCAGCAGTCTGTCTCTTCTTGGTGTGAAATATTTTTCACAGCTGAGCTCTAATGAAGCTTCTCGTTTCTGCAAAGACCTGAGTGGTTTCTGCACTTCWTCTGACTGTGTGCTTTCCAAGAATGAGCAGAACATCTGGCAGAGCTGAGAGCTTATATCACATGATGAGCTTTTACAATGTTTTTACATCTTTGGTTTCAGAATCACAGAATTASAATAAGTCTGATAACAGGATTATTATCAAATAAATTATAAAATATTTCAGATTATTTGTTTATATTCCTGTAATATTCAGCTAATGTGATCATCATACCTTTTATTTATAAATGAACTTACASTGAAGGATTTATAACATTATCTAAGTTAGTTACCTCCTTTAAATAGCGATTAAAAGGTCATTTTGTATTGATGATTTAATTACATGATAGTAGTAAAAACAACGCATATTTTCACAAAGTACAAAGCCAGTGGTGGGCAAAGCTAACCTCATAATATGCCAATTAAAAATATAGCTTCGCTAACACTAAACCGCTACACATATTTAAAAAATTAGCGGACACCAGCACTTAACAAGTAAATTAAAGAGTTTTCTGTGAACATAAAAATTTACTGTAAAAAACTGGTAAAACAAAAAAAWGCCTATTTAAAAAGACTATAATATAACTTCATCTATGTGATGTAACTATGATAACTAGCTATACCTTTTCCAAATAGGTAGTCTACGCCTATCACCTACCTACCTTTTTATACTTCTGTTAGCTGTTGGTGGATTAAAGTTGGAAAAATGTAATGTAGCAGAGGCTAATTGGCCTGCTAAGGTTTTTCTGATGTTAGCAAAATAGCTAATCCGCTAAAGGAAAAATTTGTTCTGCTAGCTGTTAGCTTATTACAAAATCTGAAATTTAAAGAGCTGGTTGGGAGACGGTCATTTAATCTTTTTTTTTAACATTCTACAGGACATAGAATAAATTTGAAGCTGAGGTTTGGGAAAATAAAACATGAGATTTGAAAATATCCACAGGATTGCCCTATCTGCAAAATGGAGAAAATCTGTGTAAATTACGGACAATCCTGTTCCCTGCAGATATCTCTGGTGTTCCTCATCAGTGGCCTCGTCATCCTCGGTTATTCGTCATCGGTCAGCAGGCAGAAAACGTACCAGGACGTTGTGAGAGAAGTGTGCGGACGAGCCGCGGGGCAACTCTGCGAAGTCTGTTTCTGCTTCAACCTCTTCGTGATCAGCGTGGCCTTCCTGGTGGTGGTGCAGGACCAGCTGGAGAAACGTGAGACGAGACAAAAACAGCTTTTCTCATTTAGAAAATAAACACATTTTTTTGTGTAATATGCAGTTTGTTGTTGTTCGTGTTGTTAGGACTACAGAACCCAGTAAGACTGGTTAGGCTAATCAGCTAACAGCTAATAGCAGAAATAATTTCAGTGGATTACCTTTTTGGCTAACTTCGAAAACTGTTAGCAGACCAATTAAATTATTATTATTATTTACCAACAAACTAACATCAACAGGTTTGTCAGATGGACTAAGTCAGATTTTAATTAGTTAGCGGTTTAGCATCAGTGAGGCTATATTTTTAGTTAGCACATTATGAGTTAGCACACCACTGAATTTAGAAATGTCCCAAATCAGAAATTTAAAAATGGCCAAATAAATTATTTTTAGCATTTTCTTGTTATTTGAATAAACACTAACATTCAGATCGGGTCAAAAGAAAATTGTGTTTCTGTCGTCTCAGTTTTGTCTCTGTTGTTTTGTTCCATCTCACTTTTAAACTAAGCTTTTGATTGGATTTACAGCCTTTCACACACACGCAGAAACATTAGAAAAATCCTCCTGGCTCTGCGCAAACAAGCAGAGACTTTAGTGAAAATCTCTCTCTCAAAAAAAAAGGCTTCAAATACTGTATCTTTTAAAGGAATGCTCATCGCTCTTAGTGGATAAATATTAATGAAAAATCTCAATATCTGCTGAATATTCTGCTGACTCAGGCTGACCTTACGTGATTTGATGACTCCTGTCTGAGCAGATTATCGAGGCCTCTGTTCTTCTCAGTGTGTGTTTCATTATATGAGGCGGTGACCGGGTCGACCGAGGCAGAGATGCCTCATCACTGGTACACCGACCAGCGCTTCGCCCTCTTCATCACCTGCCTCTTCATCATCTTACCCTTGTCCATCCCGAAAGAGATCGGCATCCAGAAATACACGAGGTAAACCTCACTGATCTAAACCCCAGCTGTGAGTAAAAAAGGCTGAATCAGTTAAGCGTTTCTCTTYGTGGCAGTGTGTTAGGGACGCTGGCTGCGACATATCTCTGTGTGGCTGTGGTGGTTAAATTTTACCTGATGGACAGCAGCAYGAGTGTAACAACTCCAGAGCACAGCCAGGGGTCAGTACCTCCRAGTTTTAATAATGTGTGTATTAATAATCTGTTTGTTATCTCATCTGGTGAAATGTGTGTGTGTGTGTTTCAGTTTGAGTTCATGGGCGTCCATGTTCAGCGTCGTACCGACCATCTGCTTCGGCTTCCAGGTGAGATCGTCTTCACCAGACACAACTGTGGGATAAATCTTGTGGCAGCAGGAACTTTCAGATTTTTTTTTGTCACACATCCTGGTTCTTGAGAAAGCCAGCCAGAGTAATCAAACACAGATCCACARATTTACGTTTCACTTTGGTGAAGTTTCCCTTCTGTAATGTAACAGAGTTGATGCAATCCACTGAAAAAAWGACAAAAACAGACAGTTATTTTATTGCAGTGATTAATTTTACCTATAGAAAATGTTACATTCAAGTGTTACATCATGGATCAGTCAGCAGCAGCAGCTGATCAATATGTGATCCATGATGTGATGTAATAGTAAATCTGTGGATCTGTGTTTGGTTACTCTGGCTGGCTTTCTCAAGGACTAGGATGTGTGACACAATAATCTGAATTATGGAACTGAAATTGAATTATGGACCTGAACGTGAAAGTAGTCAAACTGAATTTTTAATAGACCAAAATACAGTTTCAAAGCAAATTTATTAAAATTCAAAACTTGAAATTCAGTTTCAAATCAGTAAATCCAGTTTCAATTTAGTGAAATTTGTTTTACCAATACATTCAATTTCAAACTATGCACATTCAGATTCAATCGGAGCAATTCAAATTCAATTCCTGCTGGCACAAGATTTATCCCATAATGGTGTAGATGGTAAAAACCAGTCAGGTCACCAATTCTGTTGGAACTAAACTAAATGTTGTTTTTACAGATTGAATCCATTCGTAGATTTGTTCATGTATTTCAGAAGTGTGTGTGTTCACGTGTGTGTGTGTGTGTGTGTGTTCAGTGCCACGAAGCCTGTATAGCGATCTACAGCAGCATGCAGAACCAAAATCTCCTCCACTGGGTCGTCATCTCTGTGCTCTCCATGCTCTTCTGTTTGCTCATCTACACTCTGACAGGTGAGCTCACCTGTCAATCACCAGTCTTTGTGTTGGCTCACCTGACAGGTGCGCTATCACAACCACTAACCTCCTCCTCCCCCTCAGGTGTGTTTGGCTTTCTGACCTTCGGGCGAGACGTTGCCTCAGATATTTTGCTGTCATACCCAGGAAACGACGTGGCCATGGTCATCTCCAGACTTCTGTTTGGGATTTCCATCGTCACCATTTATCCCATCATTCTTCTCCTGGGCAGGTGCGATGACATCAGAGCAAAGTGGCATTGTTTTTGCGTGAGTCCATGTGTACGGAACTGTGTGTTTGCGACAGGTCTGTCGTCCTGAACCTGATGTTGCGAGCTCAGCGACATCGGCGGGGAATCGTCACTCGTTCGTTCGAGAGTCGCTGCAGAGTGTTTCTGACGGTGGCCTGGATCTCCTTCACTCTCCTCATTGCCATGTTCGTCCCAGACATGTCTGACGTCATCAGCGTCATCGGAGGAATCAGCGCCTTTTTCATCTTCATCTTTCCTGGTAAGCAGAAACTTTATCCTATTAATGAGACCAAGTTTTAACATGGAAATCTTATATTTAGTCTGTATTAATGTTTTTCTTTATGCGATCTGACCGTCCTACCTTCAGGCCAACCCTAGCCCGAAAAAGCAAAACCACCAGAGTCAGAGGGCGTGGAAATAAAAATTAGAATTTCTTATCCAGTGTGTCGAATTAGATATAATTTTGGTATCAATACAATAAAGTTTAGCTCACCGTGTCTCTGCCAGAACAAAGGTTCTTTTATACAGCGTGGAGTCACGGTCCGAGCGCAGACCATCAGCTCCTCATTCAAAAAAAAAAAAAAAAAAAAGTTTAGTCCCGAGGCTTATCAGAGGGAGATCTTCTGGTCTCAGCCCACGGAGCTCCAGCGTGGAAAATGTTCGTGACGCCAAAATTGTCATGGAAATCTTTATTTTACCTAGACAGAAACAYGAGATCCAAGAAYAAAAAGCATTCCGTGAAAGGTCAATCAGATTTTATTGCAATTGCAGGACACACACCATGTCACACAGGGCAGTAGTACATAAAATGTGTGCCCTGAGGCAGTTTCAAATACACACATTTATACAGTATATTATCCAAACAGACAATCTTGGTGTGGAAACTGGGCCAAGGAGAGAATGATGTTTGATAAACAGTGACAAGAATGATTACTTCTTACAAATRTTGTCCTGATCTTAAAATACTTTGTCCGAGAGAAAACAGAAGATAAAGTGTAAAATCATAAAACATAATGGCATTTTAAGGTAAGCAAAAGAGGTCACTGACTCTTGGCCTGAAAAGAAATGTTGGACTTTAAAGGATCATTTGATTTTCCAAGACATTTTCTAATGAGAAAATACTGAAGTAATGTTGCTTTAGTTAGAAAATCCACATAAGGGTCCAAATTCAACAAATGTAGAGTCTGAGCTGCAGAGTGCGCAATTCTGAATWCTGTTGTCTCAAAGTAATAAAGTTGATGGTGCAAATCTTGGCTGAGGCCTTTTATATTTTCTAGGTACAAACATGTTTTTTTTTTGTTTAATATTTTGTTTCATTGGGCAGCACTGTGGCTCAGTTGGTAGAGCTGATGCCTCTCAGCAAGAAGGTCACCAGTTCAAATCCCGGTCCGGGGACCTTTCTGGGTAGAGTTTGCATGTTCTCTCCGTGCATGCGTGGGTTCTCTCCGGGTACTCCGGCTTCCTCCCACAGACCAAAAACATGACTGTTAGGTTAATTGATAACTCTAAATTGTCCTTAGGTGTGAGTGAGAGAGTGAATGGTTGTTTGTCTCGTTTGTCTCTATGTGTGGCCCTGTGATGGACTTGCGACCTGTCCAGGGTGTACCCCGCCCCTCGCACTGTGTCTTCTGGATATGGGCACCAGTGACCCACGCAACCCTGAAAAGGAAGAAGCGTGTACAGAAAATGGATGGATGGATGGATTTCGTTTCATTTGAGTACACAAAAAATACAAAAAAAGAACTACAACGTCAAATGAAAGGGAGCAGAAAAAAGAAAAAAAATCTTATAGCATCTGCTCCTACCTAAAAGAAAAAAAATATCTCAAAACACAACCAGGCTGTGAATATAATTCACTTTTTAACAACAGTGCTGAAAAATAATAAAAACAACCAAAATTAAAACTCAAATTTCTACATTTTGTTCATATTTTGACAACAATGTTTTTTTTTATCAATCTAGCAAATGTACAAATCGAATTGGCCAACACTTTCTAAATTGTTCCACAGTTTGATTCCCTGGACGGAGGTGCATTTCTCTTTAAAATTAATTCTAATTTTTCGTTCGAGGAACATTTCAAATCCTTTCAAAATATACACGCTATCTCTTTTACAAAAAAGCAATTGTATGTTACAGGGCAATGTATTCTTATGAGCCCTATACATACAGAATACTGTAATCTACCAATTCATCCAACTTCAAAAGCCTCAATTGACTAAACAAGATATCTGAGTGGTGGTAGTAGTGTTTCCTTGTTAAATTTCTCACAGCGCGTTTTTGTTTAACAAAAATGGTTCTTATAGATGTTTTACACACTTTCCCCCAAATCTCTAAACAATAAATCAACTTACATATAATAATGACATTATATAATATAAGCAATGCATGATCATTGAATATGGCTTTAGCCTTATTTAGTTTACTCTGAGTTTTCAGATTTTCTTCTTGACCTGGTGTGAGTGAGAGAGAGAGAGAGAGAGAGAGAGAGAGAGAGAGAGAGAGAGTGTGTGTGTGTGTGTGTGTGTGTGTGTGTGTGTGTGTGTGTGTGTGTGTGTGTGTGTGTGTGTCTTTCTATCTTTGTGTGGACATTTATTTAAACATTAGTCAAGCCTTGTTTTGACACAAGAGAAACACCCATTTGTGGGTTAGGGTTAGGGCTAAGGTACGAATGAAGATCAGGTTAGGTTGGGTTAGGCTGTAGAAATTAGTGGAAGTCAAAGCAGGTCCTCACAAAAACATTGAAAGATGCATTTGTGTGAAAAACTTAGACATTTAATGTTAATGTGAACTATTCAAGTCTGCGAGTCATGTTTGGAACAGAAAAATGTGACCTGTCAGTAAAACCAAATGTATTTTCTTCCAAATTGAGTCATAAATTTAAATTAATGACATACATTTACTTAAGCAGACATTTCTAAATTGTCCTGTTTTAACTTTCATAAAAGCCCAAATTATGGATATTCTAAATGTGAAACAGCACCACAGTTTGATGCTGCATTGCATACGACTTTTTAGGTAACAATTAAGATTAACTGTCCAGATAAACGAATATTTCTTCTTGTCAGATTGTTGTTGAGCAGGAATTTGATTTCTAAACTGACATAWAAAGATAATTAACAGATTAATTATGTTACAAAAGCCCTTTTTTATTTTTAATGCTGCAGGTCTTTGCTTAATGTTCACGATGCAAACAGAAGACGTCTCTCCAAGAGTCAGGTGAGTGTTTGTAGTTTGGATCAGTTCATGTGGCATCAGTTTTATTTTTACTCTTTTGCTCAACGTGAACCAAATTCTTGTTCTTGTAAATTTCTCTTTTAACCCGTTTAATCAGCAGACAACAGATAGTCATGGTCTGTGTCTTTTTTGCCTTAATTTTCCAGTGTTTTCTGTGTTCCCTGTGTATYTCTTCYCTGYTGTCTGTCAATCCTCCTGCCCCGCCCCTGCTCACCTGTTTCCCTTTGTGCCTCCTCCAGGTGTTTCTCGTTATTCTTCATTAGTAGTTCTATTTATTTACTCTGCGTCCTGTCTTCAGTGTTTGTCTGATCACCGAGCTGTTTTCCCAGCTGCCACAAAAGCCCTCCTTTCGTTTATTAAATCTTRTTTTGTACACCTTTTGGATTTTTGCCTGGGTCAATGCCTGCACCCTTCAGATCAGCCACATGCCCAACATGCTACGTCTTTCCAGAGTTCACTTTTTCAGCTTCTTTAAAAAATGAACAAATTCAACAAACAATTTAGAGACAACAAACCATTTAAAGTCTTTCCAGTTTTTAAAGACAACAGTGATGCTTTAATGAGGTTTTGTAATTCATTTAGAAGCAGGTATAATTTGTAATTTCTGATTAGTTCTGCAAAAACAGTCAGTGTTACAAGCTGATTGCTGTTCTTTTATGTATTTTTCTACACAAAAAATGATGGCTAATAAAGAGAGCAGCTGAAAGTGAAGAGGCAGAGGTGAAACCATCACATTAGAGGATTATCAGAAATCAGTTTAATCTGTTAAAAGTGAAAAATTTAAACTCTGTACCTGTGTGGACCCTGCACCTTGATTTTTGTTTATTTTTTTTTTTGTTTTTGCTGACATCCCTCTCAGTACTATGCTGTCTCAAATAAATAAAATAAAAACAATTTCTTGAACATGACAGTTTTCTGCTCTCTAGATGTTAGGCAGGGCAGAATCAGGATGAATCTGAAGCAGCTGCTGTCAAAATATTGCTGATAAATGTGACAAACCAAGAAAAACAGGCAGAAAAGACTCAGAAAAAAATGAAAAAGGCTATTCCACTGTGTTTGATTAGTGTGACTAAGAATTTACTGTAATTTCTAATAAAATACTGAAAATCAGTGGTGGGCACAGTTCCACTAAAGCACTAATAGGGGGTACTAATTTCTTGATTAGTGCTTTAGGGCTTTCGCTATTTTTTTAAAAGTCATTAGCACTTGCTAAATTTATAGGCTAAATTTAGAAGCACTAACTGAGACTTTAAATGTTATTGATCAACATTGTTGTTCACAGTTGAAAGTGAAAGCTGTCATACATTTTGCTCATGTGCGTGTCACTCATCTTCATGTCAAAATCAAGGCCCGCGGGCCAAATGTGGCCTGAGGGTGACTCCCATTTGGCCCACCAAGGGCGCTAAGTGACAACATTCTGCACACAGTAAATATTGTCTCATGTTGACTCTGAAGAATGTTTCATGCGTCAACTGGATTATTTCAGTGCTTTAGAATTAGCTTTTGCTAAATTTTCAGTGTGTTAGTGCTTTAGAATTAGGGGACCTAAATATTTGAGTTAGTGCTTTAGAATTAGGGGACCTAAATATTTGAGTTAGTGCTTTAGGGTTAGTGCAACTAATATTTAGATCAGTACTGCCCACCACCACTGAAAATTCACAAAATTGTTAAAATAAAAAGTGCTAATTTTCCACTTTGGTTTAATTTGATTTGTCATTTCAGATCCGTTTTAACAGTCTGGGGGGTCATAACAATCGTGGTGGGGGTCTTCATCTTTGGACAGAGCACCACCATCGCCCTGATGGAGGTAGTCCACAAGTTCTACTAGTCCCCACCCAGTTTAACCGGCAGCAACTGAGACCTGCGTCTGTAAACATAGTTTTTAATTGTACGTGTGTGTGTGTGTGTGTGTGTTCAGTGCCAC